ACTTCAAGAATAAACTTTTAATAGTTAAACAATAAAGGTTTATTATATAAAATGCTTTTTTCATCTATATAAAATAAACTTGTAGTTAAACTTTCTATACGAATTTTAAAAAGTATAAAAGAAGTCCTTTTTAATTTTTCTCTAAAATATTTCTTTCTAATTCTTCGAGAGTTATATTTATAATATTATCCTTTGAATTTCTTTTTTCAATGGTTCACCACTCTGTTAAAAATAAATCAAGACACTATCATTATCAAGAGTATAGTCGAGATAGAAGCCGTTCTAATAGTAGAGGTCAGAAATACCAAAGAGGTTGAGAAAGAAGTATACACTGGTCAACGTCTATTCATAAAAGACACCGATCACAATCTATTCGTAAAAGACATCAAAAGAACAAAAAATAATAGAGATTGGTAAATATAAACACTTTTTTTTGTTATACAAGTAATCAATACTTAATATCAACCAATCACAAATAAACAGTTTAGAATCAGAATGGGACTATTCAGATTGTAAAATAGAGAAAACTTCAGAAAAAGATAAACACACTAGTAAAGGTAATATATTATATATTAATATATACATTGAATGACTATCAGATATTTTTTTTCAAAAAATAGATTATACTATTCTAGCTAAACAAATAAGTGAAATGAGAGATTGTATAAATATTTTATTAAAAGGAAAGAATAAAAAAGTGGATTTGAATCATTTATCAGTTGAAAAGCAGAATTCAACCAAAAAAGATCATTTTTACATCAGTAATCTGTCAGAATTTGAATATGATGATGATCAGAACTCATCCGATCAAGCTTCAACTTCTAAAACAAAGTTGAAGAATCCCAAACTTTAACTTCAAAAACCTCTTTAAGCAATCGACAGCAAAAAAAGCCAATCATTATTGATTCTAATGATAACCAATCGGATGATTATATAACTGACGAGAATGACAGAAATAAGTATAATGAAAAACAAGAATTGAAGAAATATCATCGTTCTCGTTCTGTAACTCTATCGGATAACTATTCGTCAAGAAGTTCATTAACAGACTCTTCTGACTATTCCAATTCAAATCAGCAGACTTCTCGCCAAAATAATACTAAATTTCTTTATGCAGCTGATATGCCAAAAAATCTTCAGAGGTCTTTAAGAGTATGATTCTATTTTATTTATTGATTTATTGTTTATATTACTAATGAATATATAAATTATTATATTAGAGAAAATTATTTTGGATAATAGATAGAATGACATCTGAAAACTGATTAGATTTAAACAAAATATTTGAAATACAAAAGGATTTAGTTAATAAGGTTATTATACTAACCACCAAAGTATCTATTGACTTTAATACATTTTCTATCGTGAATAGGATATTATATAAAATGTTATACAAAAGACATAGACACCAACATGAATTACATAAGCTAAAAGACCAGCTAGATGATGTTCAAGAAGAAAACAAAAAACTCTCGACGTATGGAAGTTAATAATCAATTGACATTGACTTTATTTAGAGTTTACTAATAAATTATTTTAAATTTTAATTCTATAGAAAAGGAACTGCCGTGCCATTATGATCGACCAACTTATAGATTTAAATGATCCTTTGGTTAACAAATTATCCAATCGAGAGTTGCATCCTTTGAAAGTTAATAACAGATATCATTCTCCTGACGATAGCGAAACAGACACAGAATATCCAACTGGCAAGAAAAAACTCATAACAAAAAACCTCAAGTAGCGGTTATCAATAGTAAGTAAACTTTTTAAAAAAAAATTTATTTAATATTAATCAGCTTATTATAATGCTATCTTTTAGACACAAATGATTCTAAAAGAATATATTGATAAACTATTTGACGAAACCTCGAAAGTTTTAAAAAAAAGAAAGCATTCTTATAGTAATCAGTATACTTCAGAGAAAGTACCATCCAATGTTCCAAGATGGACACTTACCGGATATAATAGACCAATAAAAGAAGTTGTTGAAAGGGCTTGCCGTCAAAGATCAGCAATATCACTTGATCATCAAGAGGAAAAATAGACATTATCAGATTTGTATATATAGAATAATTTGTGACGAGGGTGAATATACTGTTTTAATTTAATTTCTGTTATGTATGATTTATGAACAAATTTGTATTATTAGAGTTTATGATTTACTGCATAAATTAATATTTGCTTATATGCAACTTTAATGGATCATAATATTGGTAACTAGCTGCAATTTTATAAATTAGAAATTATTGTAGGATTTAATTATTGAAAATGTATTGAATGCCGATTTTTTAAATGAATAAATAAATTGATACCAATTGGTTTTAGTGATTGATATAAATGGAACAATTCAGGGTATAATAATAACAAGCCGATTTTTGCTAACATTTCAATTATAATAGTTAAACCAATTATTTACAAACAATAGTCACTTTTCCGATATATATTTATAAATTCATTTTGTTTCAATCAGAAATAGCTAATATATACAAAGATATTCAAACAGTTAATATCCGATTGCTTGATATTTATTCAATATATTGAAATGTGTACATAACTTATACATATTTTTTTAACAATTAAGCATCAATCGAAGCATAAAATATTGAAAAATTACCAAAGGCAGATTACAATCTCACATGTCGGTTGATAGGCTAACTAAATCCTATTTGCATTATAAATTTGCATCAATCAGATGCCAATTTATAATTCAAAAAATTATCAATTGACATTTGATCAGTGATAAATAAGATGATTTATGAGTACCTGATTGTTACTTGATTTGACAGCATTTTACCTGTGATAGTAATTAATAATTCTAAGTTTAACATGTTCTTTCAAAAATAAGTTTACATATAGCAATCTAGGATCTAAAGTGAAAGAAGATATCATATGCTTTTTCTATTTATTTGAAATAAAAAGGACTACTCCTGCATAGAGTTACATTATGTTCAGTTTACTCTAGAATGTATTGAAATGCTGATCTTATTTGTATTTATATAATATTAAAGTTTTATGATGTATTTCTGTAAGACTGACAAAATCTATACTTTTTGGTTTGAAAAACTCTATTATTTGTAATGATTTAATAGGGTCAATAACTTCATTAATTCCTCTAATATTTTGGATAACAAACGTAAGAACATCACTTTTAATTATATTATTACTTAAGTTATCATCTATATGAGAGAGGTTTGCATTTATTTGTTTAATTTTATGTTGTTTATTATCGTAAAAATGGGAGATTTGATGATTAAGAAAAGAAGTAACATCTATGTTGAAGTTTGAAGTATTCCAGTTATTAGTAGGAATATTATTTATTTGTGATTCACCTAGTGTGAAGTATATTATAAGTGATGAGCTATAAGCCTATCATTATTGATAAATATAAAGAATTAGAAATCTAATTTAGCCAAATGATTTTTAATTGAGTCTAATTCCTGAAGTTTAGCTAGAATTAAATCGAGTAAATTAGAATTATTATTGTGTATTATAGTATAAGATGCATTAGGAGTTGTAGAATCAAAATCTCTTCCTTTTTCTTTGTTGGAACTGAAGGAAGGTGTTGAAGGGGATGCTGGAATAATTGTATGATCTTGAATTTGAAACCTTGGTTCTATATTTCTAATATTAAATGAGAAACGTCTAATACTTCAAATATTAGTAGAAGAATTCCTAGGTGTATTGATGACTAATAACTGGTTTAGTTCATTCTGAATATATAATTGGTTAAGAACTCTAGGTCTCCTGTCCAATCTATATCCATTATGTATAATTTGTTATGAACAGGTAGAATTCATATTTTCTTCAGATGCAAAGGTAGCATAAACAATATTATTATGAAAATAGTAAGATCTTGCACTAAATACTCTTAGAGTACGAAAAGCTTTTGCAAGTGATATTTTATTTTTGAAGCCTTTAAAACTAGTTACGTATCTATTTCTATCCTTTAATTCTTCTATTAGTGTATTTATATGAGCACATCTAATAACATATCTATTTATATTATGTACTCAGGCTGTATTAAGCTGTTGAAGTTTTCTAATTTTTCTAAAAGAAATAATAACATCACATGATAAATCATATCTATTTCTATATTAGTCAGCATAGTAGGCTTAAGTCTAATTGGTTGATTTTTAAAATGATCGTCACATATTAAATTCATATAAAAAAGATGATCATCAATCTTTAAATAGATTCAGTCACAGTGATAAATTCGCAAGGGTTGCAATAAAAAAATTTCTAAAGTATACTTTCTGTTTTATAAACTGTCAAGTAATTTGGTAAAAAGCAAGGTAATTCAGAACTTAACTAATAAGAATTTCTTTGCAATATGTTATTTTATATGTATATATATAAAGAGAGAGAGAAAGAGATTGAAATTTGAATTATATATTGGTATATATTTTAAGATTTATTTTATTTATTTACATAAATAAAAGAGAAGGTTAGATTATTTATAATAAATAATAGATAGTATACAACTATTCTTTCATGTTTTAATTTTATTGATTTAAATTTTTTAAACCAAATAACTAATAATGAACTGTAATTTAGATAAATATCTAAATGTATTTTATATTAATATAATTTAATAAAAAAATATTTTAATATATTTTTCACATGTTAAAGATAATTTGGTCCTTTTTACATAATATTTTTATATAATTATTAATGATTTCAGACTTAAAAAATTAAAATTTTTTTTAATTTTTTATTAGAACAAATAGTCACATAAATGGTTATTGGCCAATTATATTAGTATATAATTAGCTAATCACAGAAAAAGCCCGCTATGCTATATTAGTCAATAATGGATATGATCAAGCTAAAATAGGTAAGAGCTTTATTTATATGATTTTGTGTAATGTCATTAGGAACAGACTTGAGCTTGTATGTGAGGTTGTTGTGATGTTGATTATTAATTGGAGTTTTATTAAGTATTGTGAACAGGTAAATATGACGTAGCTGTATAGCGCAAGAGGATGATCAATTTATATAGATGATATATCTGACATATGTAACATATTAGATGTGATCGACATAAATGACATATTAGACATAACTGATATATGTGATATAACTGACATGTTAGACATGTCAGACATATATGACATAACTGACATATTAGACATGTCAGATATATGTGGCATAACTGACATATTAGACATAGCTGACATATTAGATATATTAGTTATATCTTTCTATGTAATATATTT